GTACCCTACAATTTTATTTAATTCTTTATCCTTACCAATTTTAATACGAATATAACAATATATTTAAAATTTCAAATAGAATGTACAAAAATAAATACAAAATAAAGATCATATTTTAATTTTATTATTGTTCTACAAAGTAAGAAGTAATAAATAGACAATACAAATTTTATGAAAAGTACATTACATTATCAAATTAAAAAATACATTACACTATCAAATGGTTGTCATGTGTTTACTTTCTTGAGTTGAACAATCATCAATGTTGAAGATTTCATTTGAAGAAATATTGCAAAAAATATTTTTTTGCTTGCTTGATTTTGAAGATGAGCTACTACCATCAAAACTTGCCATTTTTTGATAGCAAATAAGCAAAAAAAAAAAAAAATTGTAAGTAATAATTTAATACTTACAAATTATAATGATAGATATTAGACGAATAGAAATAATTAAATAATTAGTAAAATATATAGAAAGTCCATAAAATTTAAACTTTCTTAAATCCTATTAAACACAACTAATTTTTTGAATTATCTCACTACTTATATTAATTATTTTTAACGGTTCTGGAACCAGCGGTTCTGGTTCTGGTTCTGGTTCTATTTTTTAGAGAACCAAAACCGGAACCTTTATCCAAGGTTCTGCCACGGTTCTGGTTCCATGGTTCTGGTCCGGTTCCCGTTTCCAAATGGAACCATGGCCATGCCTAGCCATAGGGCACTCATTAACACACCTAACATTAATCTAATCTATCATGTATATGCACATACTAACAATTATTACCCTCTTTTGTGTTTTTATATTTTTTCCTATTTAATCTTATCTACCCTTTCTTGTTTTTATTTATTTTTTCTAATTAATTTTACATTTTCAAAAATATGACATCTAAAATATATCTTAATGTGCCCTATGAGCAACCCGTTAGACAGATCCATATTTATTTGGGATAATTTCAGAAACCTCCCTTGAGGTTTCAAACAATTTCAGAGAGCTCCCCTTAAATTTTAACAATTACATCCACCACTCTTGCTTTCACTATTTATGCTTCAAAATAGACCCAATAGCATACATTTTTCATCATATATATCTTAAACTACCCTTTCTGCCAAAAAAAAAAAGGAAAAAGATTTTGCTGATCGTATTCACTAATTGCCTTCTTTGTTGACTGTCTTCTTCCAAGCAAGACTATCAAAAGCCAAGAAATCCTCTCTACCAAAAATTTTTAAAAAATAAAATAAAATAAAAAGAATTTTGATGATTGCCTCTTTTCTGGGCAACGCCATCAGAAAAGCCAAGCAAACATCCCAAGCCGAATCAAAAGCAATTCCAACAATTGTAGGCACGCAAAACATCGCAATCCAATTTACTTTCGGCAGCATAGGCTAATTCTTACACTCTATCCAGCCCCATCACTTTCTCTACAAGGTAAATACACCTCTTTAGGGCAGGTCATTGGATCGACCCCGGAGAACTAACGTGCTGTGAACCTTGGGGGGGCTCTTACAGTCGCAAGAGATTAGTCGGGTCCAATGGTTCTGGACACCCTTGTGTTGAAAAAAAAAAAAAAAATATATATATATATATATATACACCCACCTCTTATTATTAAATTGATAAAACTCAACCAATACTCCATCAAATTTTACCAGAAATAAAAAACCCCAAATTTTATCCAAAACCAACACTCCACCAAGAACCAATCCCACATGTCAAATCCCCTTACTCTTCCTCCCTTTGCAGCCTTTCGTTTTCTTTCAACAACCCATTTTATGAAGCCCAAGATCCATTTCTCAAACTCTTGATCTTTGACATCACCAAGTTTTATCACCCATGATCAACCAAAATTGGATAAAGAACATAGATATAAAAAAAAAATCAAACCCACTACACCCTGAATAGGAAAAAAAAAGGAGGAAGGGATGAGTCTAATCAAATCAAGTTTGCAAAGAGAAGGGAATTGATGTAGGAAAAGTCAAAAAAAAGAGAAGCCGAGAAGGAAAAAGAGGGGGATAAGCACGGGCAAGAGTTGAGGGACAATAGGTAGTGTCCTGAAGTAGAGCAGGAAAGTTGGGTACACGAGAGTTGGACAAAGGATGCAGTGGGAAAAAAAAGCAACGTAAGGGACGCCCAAGAGAGAGAATCAATTGTTGCTGTTTTTGTTTTTGGTTTGGATTTTTGAATTTTTTCCAAAAAAATGTCTTTAAGTATTTTATGAGGGGTAGTAGAGAACTTTTGTACTGATAGGGGAGGTATGTGTAATTTTAAAATATTGAGGAAAGCTTTCCTGAATTTGTCAAAAACCTCAAGGGAGGTTTATGAAATTATCCCTATTTATTTAGAATACTCTTTTTACTAATGAAATCAAACTAATAGCACAATACATTCATCTATTTAAATGGTTACTTCTCTTTCTTTCTGTATTGCTGATTGTTTCCTTAAATTTTTCCTACACTTACAATATATACATTATCAGCGTTGGATAAATGACAATTATACAAAATTTGAATTTGAAATTCAACTTTTATACATATATCATGAATTCAACGAGGATAGTATATACACAGTCAATATAGAAAAAATTTACTCTTTTTTATTTCTCTATACGTGCGCAGCCAGTCGACATCTTTGCCTAGGCAACCTCAGGCGAAGCACGAGGCCCATCTCCAACTAGCCTTTCGAAAAACTTGGGCAGCGGGCGGCAATGACTCTCCCGCCCCTTAGTTCTGTCTATTTTTGACCTTCTGTGTCTATAACAAGAACCTGAATTAGACTACTTAATTACTAGTGATGATGAAAATTAAAAATGGACAAGTTCGAATAATGCTTGCCTAACTCCTGTTGATTAATATGCAATTTCTCCATTTTTGCTTCTTAAATCTTAATTTTTCCCTACTAATAAAAAAAGCGATAAACTTCATAAATATATTTTTAGATGTGTATATCTTCTCAAGGTTATCCTACTACAGTTTTTGATGTAGAACAAGTTGCTGCGAGGTTTTGGACAAAATGGAGCTAGCAAAAGAGAGAGCAAACGGAAGCTGCACGCCCACGACTTCAGAGGAAGTCCGAAGATCAGCGCCGGACTTCCCTTCAGAGGAGAACCGACGCCAACATTGGCATCGGACTTCATCGGAGTAGCACTTTGTTTTTCTTTTTCTTTTTTTTTTTTCGTTTTCTGCCTTTTGTTGTAATTTTGTTTTCTTGAATCGCATCTTTGTTATTTTTGGAAAAAGCTCGTGAAACCATTCCTTCTACCTGCTTCTGCATCATTTTTTCTATCCCATGTTTTGACTATTTAAAAGAAGAAAAAAAGAAAGAAAACGTCATATTGCTCTATGAATTTGTGAGATGTATAATCCCAAAGTTAGAAAAAAAAAAAAGAACAGTCTTGTATATCGTATATCGTTTTCCACGCAAGACTATTATACTCCCCAAAAGGGAACAAGAAGAAAAAATGGAAAGAAAATAAACTTCAAGGTTGACTTCAATGCAACTAGCTACTATCTTTTTTTTTCCGCAGTTAGATCAAACAAACACACACACACAAAGAAAGTAACACTCGGAAGTTACAGTTAAACGCCCCATTAAGAGAAATCTAAGGGGAACTCACAAGAACACTACATCCAATCAATTGGTAACTGCAACTAGCTACTATCAATTTATGGCTTTTGTTTGCTCTCTCTCTCTCTCTCTCTCTCTCTCTCTCTCTATATATATATATATATATATATATATAAGTTTTTTACATCTTCTGAAATAAAAGTCTGCCAAGGCCGATAAATTGTCTTTTTCTCCTTTTGCCTTTCTCTTTTTGTTGATCACAACAAAAAATAATAATAATAATAAATGGAGACAAAAATATGAAATGTGATTGTTTCTTAACAACAATAATCAAGCTACTATAACATGTCGTAACAATAATAGGTAGGAGACTTAAACCTAAACAAAATAAATAAGGGTTTGGACATTTAATAAGATAAGAATAGACAGAAAAAATAGATATCCACATAAAAAATTTGATAGAATTGATTAGAGCCATCATAATAAATATTTCATCCCATTTCACCAGTATCCTAAAGGTACTTATTATAGATAGAGAACCCTTAAAAGAATACAACTTTATGGAGTAGATGGAAGTTTTCATCCTCGATAGTATGTTGTAGGAAATGATAATCTATGCTTTGTGAGGAATGATCTATAAAAGCTGCACTACACTACTGTCTCATGCAGCCAACTCATGATCCATCAGAAAATTTTCTAATTTGTTGGTCGAAGTTTCTGCAGAAAAATGTTTTCATGTTTTTAACGTATGATGAACTGGAACACCTGAGTTATCCATGGACTTGCTATTGTAGAAAGCTTGAACCATTGATCAAGGGCAAAAGAAATGAAAGAAATCATTGAGAAAAAAAAATATCTATCATTATAACTGCCACTTCAAGGGCAAAAGTCAGAAATATACATCTATGCTTTAAGATTTCATCGTGTAACAAGACATCAAAGAAAGAATGAATGAATGAAATAACCAAAATAAAAAAAAAACAGAGTCTTAGACCCTCTCTATATGGTAAATACTACCAAAATATACTAGTGTTGGTTGCTCATTGTCCTTGCATGGCTGAACCGCTCTCTAAATACTTGCTGGCCATACTTTTAAGCTTAATGACCAGGTCCTCTAGGGCTAGGTCCAGAAGCCAATCTTTCAAGCCAATGCGACATCGTGTCTCTTGCTTTTGCATACACCGAAGGAAATGTATCCAAGTGATTGGCAATTGCGAAGTCTTCCTCTGCCAACAACCTCGCTGCATCCACATGAACTTGGCCCATGATGGCAACAAAGATGACAAAAATCAATACAAGAATCGCTGCTTTTCTACAATCCATCTTGAGCCCGAAAATCGACTAAAACCCGCAAAAATGTTAACTCAATTAGAACGAAGAGGTGAAATTTATTAGCTGAAAATGTAGATGAATTGGTTGATTCTTGGTTTATTCTTGCTATGGATGTTAGTTTGTTGCAGAAGTGTGGAGATGTTGGGGGTATTTATAGTATGGGAGGTTGGAGTTGGTTTGGAGTCATGTTTGACACTTTGAACGAAGAGGGTTGAATGTGCATTGGCTTACGTGTTGACTAAGGAGATGTAAAATTGAAGTGGTCCTATTCGTGATTGAATTTATCAGAATTGAGGGGCTGTACATGTAAAATTTTGAATGCCACGAGGGCTTGGAATTTTTGTATGGGTCTCTTGGCTGTGCAGTTTGGAATCATTCAAATGCCTAAGATTACCACAGGATGGAATTTATTGCTACAGGGTTGGAGGCTACATACGAATGGTCGTGTACGCAATGACGGAGCCAAGGGGGGGCAGAGGGGGGCCATGGCCCCCCCTAAGTTTTGAGAATTTTAATTCATAATATGTAAATATGTGTGTAAAATAAAATTGGCCCCCCCTAAATTTTTTCAATTTTAGTTTATATTATGAGAGTTGATATATATATATATATATATATATATATATATATGAATTAGTCATCTTTGAATGGAATGGCCTGCAAGCTTTAATTTGCCATGAATGTCCATATGCCTATTACATTCATTGTTTGGCTCATAGGCTTCAACTTGCTTTAGTTGCAGTTTCTAGAGAAGTAGCTTCTGTTCACCAATTCTTCTCCAATTTAGTTTTCATTATCAACATTGTTACTGCATCTAACAAACGTAATGATGAATTAAAGGAGGCTCAAGCAATTGAAGTTGCTACTAAGATTGCTAATGGTGAACTTGAAACTGGAAGGGAGCTTAATCAAATTGGCACTTTAAAACGAACTGGAGATACTCGTTGGGGTTCTCATTTGGATTCTATTTCTAGTTTACTGAAAATGTTCAATGCTACTTGTGTGGTTTTAAGTAACATTGCAGTAGATGGAGGTTCATACTCTTAACGTGGAGATGCAAATTTTGCTTTGAATCAGTTGTTATCCTTTAAGTTTGTTTTCACTTTGCATCTTATGAAAGACATTATGGAAATTACTCATCTTCTTTATATAGCATTACAACATAAATCTCAAGATATTTTGAATGCAATGCATCTTGTCTCAAGGACAACAAAGCTACTGAAGACTTTTCGAGATTCGGGATGGGATAATTTCTTGGTGAAAGTTAAATTATTTTGTGAGCAACATCAAATTGATATCCCATGTATGAATGCTCAATATATTGCAAGACGTGGTAGATCTCGAAGTCATCATGATGAGATTAGTGTGGGGCATTATTATCGAGTGGATATATTTCTTGCAACAATTGATTATCAATTGCAAGAGTTACATAGCAGGTTTAATGATCATACCGTGGAATTGCTTATTTTGAGCACTACTTTAGATCCTAGCAATGGATTTATGCTGTTCAAGATTGATGATATTTGTAAACTTGCAGAGAAGTTCTATCCAAATGATTTTATGGAGCAAGAACTAGTACGTCTAAGAATAGAACTTCAACATTTTGAGCTCGACATTCCAAATCATCCTGAATTGCAAGAATTATCTGGTATTAATGAGTTATGTCAAGGCTTGGTGAAGACAAGAAAATCAGTGATATATCATGTTATTGATAGATTGATTCGACTTGTTCTTACTCTTCCTATATCAACTGCAACTTCAGAGCGGGCATTTTCAATTATGAAAATAATCAAGACAAAGCTCCAAAACAAGATGGAAGATAATTTCTTGAATGATTGTCTAACTGTGTATATAGAAAAGAAGGTTGCTGAAAAATTTAGCAGTGATTCAATCATAGATGAATTTAGTTTTATGAAAGAGCTTAGAGCTCAATTTATTTCTAAGAAAAGATGTTGAAATTTCAAAGTATGCTAACATAACTTTTATCTTTTTTTAATTGAAAATAGTTACATTTATATTACAAGGTTATATATATATATATTGCATAGGTGACATATTGGAGAGCATCTTCTCATAATGTGCAAATTGGATGGTTTGTGATGTTATAAGATATTTAATCAAAGGATATCTTTTTTGTTAATTTTTGTTATAACTCTACGGTATATTTATGAATAGACATGCCTATATAATTAAATTTAATATTTGATAGTTTTAGATGTTATATATTTAAATAGAAGAAAATTATTTTGAACATAATAATTAAGATAATTTTATTAGGAAAAAATTTTGGCCCCCCAAAAAAAAAAATCCTGGCTCCGTCACTGCGTGTACGACAACTGACAGATGTAACAATGCCTCTATTAGGTTTGTCAACCGTACGCTTTACTACTATAAATTCTAGCTCCGTTGAATTCAAGAGTTTTTCAAAAATTAATTTTTCAAATACATTACTATGTTTGGATTGGTTATTTTTTCAAAAATAAGTTTTTCAAATATAATGCTATGGTAATATACAATAATTCAAAAAACATCTCAATCATATAATATATCAAATATTTCAAAAAATTTTATAATAAAATTTTTTTTATATACACTGTTATAGTAAAATTTTTCAAAAACACTCTCAAAACGGAACCATACAAGATGTAAAGTAATAGTGGCATAATTTTTTCGTCTCCTTCCTGCTTCTTAAATCTTGCTTTTTTGTCATTAAAAAAAAATCATTTATAGATTTTGTATATGGTGTAAAAAATGATGTATGAAAATGTGAATTAAATTTTAGAATTTGAGCTAGTTTTGAGAGTTAACCTTCGGAAATGGATGGCAACAATTCCTGCCCCTCTTTTTGTTGCAAGGGTGTGGTTTTGGCAATGTAGCCAGTAGAATGGGTTAATAGAAAGTATCTGCTTGTGTCATGTTGATTAATTGAGTCCAAGGTTTGATGTTTTGAATGGACCAGCTGGGAGCTGTTTATTTTCTTGGTCTTGAGTCTTGAATGGACTAAGCACTTTGGTTAATGGAAGTATTTTTGGGGAATCCACTAATATGCTGCCTTACTAACTAAAATTGCATAATTACCCTTTAAAAATCAGATATAAGTTTCTATTCGTTTTGGGCTATTCTCCGGCCGGACAGCACATTAAATAATAAGACACATGTAAGACATTGCCGGAATTAAAATAAAAAAAAAAAAAACTTGATTCATATGAATTGATTGTTGTGTTATGCAAATGATTTTTAAACAGTCGAAATGGTAGAAAAGGGAAGACAATTAAAGTATTCAGCTTGACAAATTAAGTAAATGGAAATTTGGTCACTAGTCAAGATGGCTGGCATGTGTTCAAAAAGTCAATGTTTGACTTCCGGTATGTAATATTATTTTCTATAGCGAATGAGAAATTTCGTATAGTCGTGTGTGTATGTGTCTATATGTGTGTGTATATATATAATAAATGATAAAGTTTATTCATATACCAATTATAAAATTAAAAATAAATATCTGCTACAATATTTAGATGTTTTCCTATAAATATTGCATGAAAAAAATATAAGATTATCCACCATATAAGCTCTTATTTTAAGTACATAAACGTGAAATATTTTGTATTTTTTGAAGTTTGGAGAAGGAAAAAAAAAAAAGAAATGTTATAAAGTGGAAAAATGTGTTGAGAATGGTCAGCCCACGCAAGTAGTAATATTAAACAAAATTTTTTCGTGTCCACTGGTTTACTGTCACTACAACAAAAATGGCCTTTAACGGCATTTAAAAGTGTCAGTATAGATAATCTAACCTGACACTTTATCTATCCTCACACCTAGGGCGAGTGTTGTCCCTTCCAATGTGGGGATAGACTCATACTATTCAACATGTCAGGAAAACTATGCTATTATAACATCCCATCTGCCAACAACAATCCCTTTTCTTGATAATTGAAAGTGTCAGGATAGGTATTATACAACATTAGAATATCGAATTCTATGCTGACACTTTTAATTGTCAGGAGTTTTTTTTTTTTTTGAGATAGAAGCAACCTGTAGGTAATGCTCCCTGCTATACATTCCGTCAATCAGAAACCCAAAGGACTTTTAAAATTATCCCAAAGAACAGAATGCATATAAGATAATATGCTATGATGCAAAAATCTAGAAACATCAAACTTTAGCAGTATTGTGATTATGAGAACTGAAAATGCCAACTCCCATAAGCAAGAGGAGATTTGTCATCATGTTTCATACATCAAAAGCAGAATGCAAATGAGACTAAATGATATACAAGCCAACACACAGTGGAAAATCTCAGAATAAATGCAAGCGCACTTTGTTTATAGCAATAACAATTCGCATTCCAGCTGCTTTGGCATGAGCAATGGCCTCTTCTATTTGAGGTCGAATTCCAACATCAGTAGCAACTACAATAACAGCAATGTCTATTACTCTGGCTCCACGAGCTCTCATTGCTCGAAATGCCTATCCAATGCAGAGCGATGTGAAGCCGCAGGCCTCAGACCAGCTGTAGCATGGCTGAGAGCCTTGCCTGTGAGAAGTAAAAGGTCCCTAGGAACAGAGCCACTATCAGCCAGGTACCAGCGGCCATTGGGGTCACAAACGTGGAAATCATAGGAAAGAACTGGTGGATAATTAATCAAAGAAAACAAAGTGTTGAAGCATTACAATTCCAAAAATGATCTGGTTGAAATGTAGAAAAAATGTATAAGCAGTTAAAAAGGAATCCAGGAAATTAGTACATATTGTTGCAACCTACCTACTGATCATAAAAAAAAAGTCCAAATATAGGTTACAACACCTGAAGTCCAGGAGCATCTGAGGAAATTAGCGTCAGCAGCCCCTTCTCTACTTCACCATTTCCACTCAGTTTTCCACCTCCTGTAGATCCTTTTCCATTTAGTGAGTGTGTACTGGAAAAGGTTGCAACAAGCACTGATGAAGAAGTCTCGTTAGCAGGCAATGGGCTATCGTCAAGCAAGTGATTGAAAACACTGCAAGCAGTGATACATTCTAAATACAGATCAGAAAACACTAAAGTTGACCACTAAAAGCAAGCATATTTTAAGTTCAAAATAGAAGTCATCTCTAAGAAATATTTTCAAGTTTTTGGAGCCTCCAGAGTCCAATGACAAGCTGGATGGTCTAAAGAGCAGGGTAAAGTTCAAGATCATGAGATTGAACATAAAAGGTGACATGGATTATGTACCAGAGCTGTTTGATGAGCATAGGGATCAAGTTGCAGTTGAACAGATTCTGCGGGTTATTTTATTTTATTTTTTTAAAAAGAAGAGAAAAAAAGAGACGAGAAAAGTTTTACATTGTATAGCTTGGTTTTCACATAATTAAAGAGTAGATTGATACTATATAACGACAAAACAAAGTTTTCAAAGTAGATACATGATTATCTTGTGTAGTGGTTCAGGAGGTTTTGATTTAACAGCTAAAGTTGATACACTAAAATTTAAACATCTTGGGTTTCAATATTTTCTCTCCATTCCCACTTCTTATATCTCACGCTTCCCCTGGAGCCTGATCATCTTACCCCTGCACTCGAAAAACTGAATCGTCAACTAGCTGAGGCTGAGGCTAAGCTTGAGGTACGCAAAAGGCCTCCTCCAGAGGACAAAGGTCTAAGAGTTCTTGGGGAAGGTCTTGTCTTTTATGAATGGAAGGAAATGAGGGAAAGATATCTTGCAAGACAACTGGTCAAAGGAGTTGATTCAATATAAGCTGCTAAACTTTCTTTCCAGTGATGCAGAATAGAAAACTGGAGTGAAAGTGAAATCACAGGCAGCAAAATCTGGAATTTATGAGTTTAACATGCTATTTCAGGGATTCAATGAAGCATAATAGAGAGAACTATTTTGCTTCCCTTTGATATCAGAATAACTATATGATTCAAGGATTATCTCCTGGCTGAGACTTTTGTTCATGCAAAATTAGGTCAGAACGTCACCAAAGGCAACCACGACAAGGAGACAAATTAAAGTTTTGCCATTTTGTCTATATACTCTCTCACATGAAAAGATAACTTTTAACTGCTATCCAAATAGCATGATAAACTAGTGCTAATTGTATTATCAATTCAACATCACAGATGCATCAGAAGCAACAATCCCCATGACTCAAGCCTCTCAAATATCATGTAAGACTTATTATTGATAGACCCCTATATTGCCAAAGCCTACCAGTACTTCTTATAGCACTCAACAAACTGAATCAGTTCCCAGTGATTACAAGCATTAAAGTAAATTATACAAGTCTACATACGGGTAGCAAATAAAGCAAGCTATGACTTGTAAAGCCTAATCATTCTACAGCTTTATCAGCAATGATCAACTTAAAACTCTGAAAATTAGCTGAAACTTCAACAAAAATCCTGCACTGAAATAGAATACAAAGCATATAGGGGTGGTGAAGTTGACGTACCTGCTTGAGATTTATGGACTGAAGATAACTATTGAGTACAACAACAGAATACTCAGTTTTTGCAGTCGAAGCAAAATCTTCAAGCCCAAATCCACACCTGTTAATTATCCAGCATAATCTAAAATTAGTACCAAACATTTCTACATTGACAGTCTAAATCAATACGTTCCCAAAAATAATTAAAAAACACTACATATATATTTATATCCTGCCGTAGCTTAACTCACAAACCCACTCTTGCTACAAGCTCTTGTAACTTTTGATTAATTCACCAATTTCTTTCTCATGTTTTTGCTCAATATTGGCCAGGGCTTCCCTTAGATCCTGCATTATTTAGTAAGGAAAAGGCCCAAAAAGTTAACTTTTTTTTTTTTGTAGGAAACCACCAACTAAAATTTACATATAGAAAAATTGCAGAGTATAACCTGTTCATCGATGACATCGATATCTGCAAGCTTGTGGCCAGATTCCTTACCGGAATTGCCTAATTCTTTTGCTAAGAAATAATTTCTAGAGAATCTGAACTCATCCTCTTCGATGGGGCGACTGGACGGCAGAGATAGGGAGCAGAGGAGAGGAAATTGGCTGAGAGAGAAGGAGGGCAAAAATTGGTATTTCAGATTCAGGCAGACAACCAAGAAAAATCAATTTAGGGCAAAAATTTATCATGTAATTACATATCTTCAATGGGAAAACATGGGTAGTTTGATTGCAGAGAGATTCAATAGAAAAAACTCTTCGGGGAAAGCAAAATTTTGGCCAAGAGTTTTGACAGATAGTTTGCCGAGAGAGTGAGAGAGAGAGAGAGAGTTTGTGAGAGAGATAAGAGAAGCAAAATTTCAGCAGGCAAAATGAGGTTTTGAAATTTCACTAAGTGTTTTGGCAAAGCAATCTTCCGCCAAAATCAAACGACGCCATTTTGTGTTCTAATTTTTTTTTGGTGCATCTCACATTTTTTCAAGTGTCATAATAGGTAGTCTAAAGATACATTATTATTCTTATATCAGATAAAATAAAATAAAAAAGAGTATAAATTATTGATTTGATAACAAGTGTAATGATAGAAGTGCTATAATGACACAAACCATCAAGTGTCCTCATATGTATGTCAGGAAATGCCATTTTTGTTGTAGTGTGTGGCTTAATTATTAAATGTTTGTCACTTCAATTTCAGAATATGATGTCGAAGACTTTCTCGTTTAGACAAGAGATTTTAAAATAATTGTTGAAGTTGAAAATATATAAATATGATTCCTTAAGCTCAGCCTTGAGTGATGATGTCATGGCGTCCCCAGTGTACTGTTTCTTTTCCATGGTCAGTTATGTGATGCTAAGTTTTGAATATAGGTGGCAAATTAACTCACTTAACTAAATTTATTCATACCCGTCCATGAATAGATGGGTATCTTAAATTTTTGTATATGGGTATAAATGGGTTACCCAATAATACTCATTTAATAAATAGGTATTATTAAGTAACCCATCAAACCTAATTAACCCATTTAGAATTGTCTTCCCCCAAACCTCCCTCTTCCCCCACCCATTTTTTTTTTTCAAATT